AGGCGGCCGGAACGCGCACCCCCCGCGCCCCATGCTCCCCGAGCCCCGTCTGATTCATTTGGGGGGTTGTTGTGGGGTTTTCCTTTCTCTGCCTATCGTGCTGTATGCTTTGGTGTCTGTCCTCACCTGCCACGGTTAACTTTCCTGTGACTCGGGTTAACTCTTGAGACCTCCACGGATGTTGCTAAGAGCACTTTTCCTGCCTTTGCTGTCCCTTGCTGGGATCGGATTTCGTACTCGCTGGACTCTGTGTGCCTGTATGTGTGTTCTGAGTGTCTTGAAATTTTGCTTTCCTTTCCAAGAGCTGTGCATTAACTGTAACCAAGGTAAGGCTCGCTGTTCTTGTTCCCTCATGTGCATGTCTAAATGAGATGTTTCTTTAAAGATGAAGTATGTATTTCCTTTTAATCAGTGGAGTCATATGCAGTCCTTCCCTTGATTAGTGCTTGTGAAAAAGCAGTGTAGAACTTGCAAGAAGCCAGACCTATTTAGCAGGAGACCTAGCTTGGCTTTCTAAACTAGAGCTGCTTTTCTCTGTTGCAGCTTCTGTGATGCTTAAAAGAATAATTTGTGTCCTATTTTGTTTTCCCTTTTGACAGACCCATGAAGGACCATAGGCTTGGCTTGACCTTGATTTTGATGGCTTTGTTGGAAGATGTAATGATGTGATTGCATTTCATGAAGTGATTGCTCTCCAGCCTCTGTGGCTCAGGGTTGAAGCCACTTCTGCCTCACTGAAACTCGTGGACAATTTGGGGTTTTTTTTAAACAAACCTTTTGGCTGTTTTTCTTTTCTCACTTCCCCTTTGCCCCCTGTTTCTCCTCAGTGTTGGGAGCTTTGTTCTACACTTTAATGTGATTGATAATCCTGCTGCTTCCTGCTGCTGATTTCTGTTTTGAAGTACAATGGCTCTGAGTGGCAACTGCAGGACTTACCTTCCTTCTCGAGAGCAGGGATCGGGGCTGCACTCCTTCCCAGAGGTAGTGGAGCTAAATGTGGGTGGCCAGGTTTACTTCACTCGCCACTCCACCTTGGTTGGCACCCCTCACTCCCTGCTCTGGAAAATGTTCACCCCAAAGAGAGACATGGCCAATGATCTGGCCAAGGACTCCAAGGGAAGATTCTTCATTGACAGAGATGGTTTCCTTTTCCGCTACATTCTGGACTATCTCAGGGACAAGCAAGTGGTTCTGCCTGACCACTTCCCAGAGAAGGGAAGGCTCAAGAGGGAGGCTGAGTACTTCCAGCTCCCAGACTTGGTCAAACTCCTGACTCCCGATGACAAGCAGCAAAGCCCTGATGATTTTTGCCACAGTGACTATGAAGAGGTTTCCCAAGGCAGTGACACGAGAATATGCCCACCCTCATCACTCTTACCTCCCGATCGCAAGTGGGGATTCATTACCCTTGGGTATCGGGGGTCCTGCACTGTGGGCAGGGAGAGCCAAGCAGATGCCAAATTCAGGAGGGTCCCGAGGATTTTGGTTTGTGGAAGGATTGCTCTGGTCAAAGAGGTCTTTGGAGAAAGTTTGAACGAAAGCAGAGACCCAGACAGGGCTCCAGAGAGGTACACCTCCAGGTTCTATCTCAAGTTCAAGCACCTGGAAAGGGCTTTCGACATGTTGTCCGAGTGTGGATTCCACATGGTGGCCTGTAACTCCTCGGTGACAGCTTCCTTTGTCAACCAGTACACAGATGACAAGGTCTGGTCCAGCTACACTGAATATGTCTTCTACCGTAAGTACAAGACATTTCTGAGGGAAATAAGATATGCTTTAAGCTGCTCTCTCCCATTGACCATACAACTCTCAAAGCACAGAGTGCAAATTGCCTCCTGGCTGCCGCGCTCTAAGGCTTTATTTAGATCTGGGAATATGCTTCAGTTTAAGCTTTCAAAATGTAAAGCAAGGCTGAATCCGACGGCTTGGTCCTGGCTAGGTGGCAGCACAGACTGCCGGAAGCGCCCAGCCCTGTGGCTGGAGGGTGCTGCTGGCTCTGGCTGTGTAAATCAGCCATCTGACTGCCCCGCACGCTCCTGAGTCTGTGCGGGATGAAGTCTAAGCCTTGCAAACACACTGCAGATTTAATTACAGAAAATCTTCAAATGGGATTCAATTTACAAAGGTAATAGCTGCTTGATAATAGTCAGGCACAGTCAGCCAAGCCATCTGTCAGCAAATCTGACACACTTGCCCGCAGGGAAGGGAAAACAAAATCCCGTCCCTGGCTGCTTTTCCACAGGGAGCCTCCTTCGAGCCAGCCGGTGTGCTCTGAAATGAGGGCTCGGGGCAGAGCGAGGCGATTGCTGTGCCGTGTTATGCAACATGCCTGTGAGAACCAAACTGGCCTCAGAATGGGAAGTACCTGCCCTGCTTCCCGCAGCCACAGCGGATCGCCTACCGTTGTGGTGATTTCACCTGATAGCTCTGGCAGGCTCATTAACTTCCTAAATTGCTATTCAGGTAGAGGTACCGTTACCAATGGTAACTCCAGGGTAATTTTGATTCTATAATTTCATACCAAAACGTCATTCCACAACTGCTGTGCTTCAATATTTGAGAGGCTCATGCGGCTCTTTTCCTCCATTTTCGTTTAAGGAGGGGGAAGGATGGGGCATTTCCCCAGCCTGTTGGTAGAAAAGGGCTTCAGGCAGTGGCCACATTGGCAGTGGGGCTGGGGAAGGTGATGCTCTGCGGCGGGCACCGTGTGTGGGCCTCACCAGGACCAGGCTGGCACCATGGAGAGATGGCAAAAGTTTTGGATTAAAGATGTATTGGGAAGTGAACAGTTTGTGTGTGATACTGGAGTCAGCACCATCTACTCTGGTGTCTGGGCTCAACAGGCAGCCCTGATCTGCTTATGTAATGGTGCTTAAGTTAGCATCCTGAAGCCATCTGTATTTCTGACGTGCATAGATTTACTTAAAATTAGTTTTCTAGCTGGATTTCTTAGCAAAATGGTTCTAAGGTCATGGATCCGCTTATATTCCAACAGGGATGGATGAGTTCTGTTATTAGGCTTCTTCTAGTTGAAATCACAGTGTCTTGTACAAGTTTTAGGAGGAGAATTACTGTAGTTAAAGGAATGGATTAGGATAAATTGTGTTTGCATTTATATATAAAATCATCAAAAAAGGTGAGTTCCTTGTAGGCACCAGGGTTTGCTCGTTGAAGGAGGATGAACATGGGGTTTGCATGAGTCAGCAAACACAGACTGGATTATTGTATTGCTCAGATTTCTTCCTTCAGGGGTTGCTCATTGCTTCCACATCGCTCCAGCCAGGGTTGGGTACCCAGAGGTGCCTTGGGAGCATTGGAAAGCGAAAGTCTAGAGTAGGTGTCACAAAATCTTCTTCCACCAGTGCAGTGGAAGCCCAAATCGGTTCAAGTTCCTGGAAACTCTTACCCAGTGCAACAGGCTTTGCATTTGGCTCACGCCAGTTTTGTGAACTTTGGACACTGCTGCAGTTTCAGAGATGGGTTTTTGAAAGGGTCCTTCCCCAGGTAAAAGCAAAAGGAGTGACCATGATGCCAAACCACTTTCTTTTATCTCAATGCTACTCGCTCTGTTGTGCTCTGTGCCATGGCTGCTGGCTGTGAAGCTGCTGGTGAGCTGCAGAGGTTCTCCAGCCATGTGCCCAGGGTCTAGCTGCAGCCTAAGAGCAGGCATGGAATGTACAGAATGCTCTGGGAGGGCAAGAACCCCCTTTCCAAATTTCCCAATATCATTTCATTTGACACTTTGAGGACCAATCAAGTTGACATCTGGCTTTCTGGTGACATTACAACTTCTCTGCAGCTGCTTAGCCATAGTTACTTAATTAGAAGCTACCAACTGTGTCTATAGAAGCATTAATTCATCAAGCTGTTGTGAGCAGGTTAATGGGCCTAAGTGTCTCATCCAAGTGGTCAGGCAGATGCAGAGGTGGCCTGTGCAGAGCCACGCCGTGGCTCCTGTGAGATGCATGGCCGGGGGATTCTTCAGAGATGGGAAAGGAAGGAGGAAGAGGAGAGGGAGGAAGGAGGAAGAATAGAGGGAAGAATATATTTTTGATACACCAAATACATTGTATGCTCCAAATATTGTTCAGAAGGTAGATGCCTGTGGTTGGCATGAAGACGAAGAACATTCTTCATGTGCAAATCCCTCTGAAAGAAGATCAGACGGGCTGAAGGCGCTGGAACCTGCAGCGACTCATATGGGTGCAGTGTGGGCTATTCACAGAGTGGCACGATGAATGTTGTATGGCACCTTCTCCCCTTGTTCAAATTTTAGGTGCTATTAAGGTTAATGGGAGTTTCCTGTTCTCTGGGAAGGAGGCTTCCCCAAAGCACAGGGCACACAGGGAAGCCAGCACGGGGAACCTGCAGCCGTTTCGAGTGGCTGCTGGGAAGGGCTGTGGATGACACTGCAATCCTCAGAGCGCTGCTCGGCTCCACTCCAGTTTCAAACAGGCCACTGCAAATAGGGTTTGGAGCCAGGCTGTGTTGGTGTGGTACAGCTGAAATCAAATAGTCCTTTGAAGCACAGTTCCTGCAGGGTGGCTAGGCAGGAGTCACAGCCTGGTCCTGCTCACAGGTGGAGTATGAGTTGAGGGAAGGAGGTGAGGTTCTGCTCAGGCATCTGCTTTCCCTCCGCTTCCTCTTGTGTCAAAGACATTTACTCAAACTTTACGCTGGTGAAGGTTGGGTTTCAGACTTGAACCATTTTGTGGGTGCTGCCCCCTTCACTGGTTTGATGATATTAAAGTAAAACCTCATCTCCAAACACTCTCATTTTTGGAGAGGGTGACAGCCTGTGCTTGGATCTTCATTTTACATGTTTTCAACCTTTGCAATGGGATGAATCAAAAGTGTGCACTTGAACATCTGGTCAATGTGGTGGTGGGGGCGGGGGGTGTTAAAGCATATGGGCTGGCTCAGCCTTCTGCAGCCTGGCCCCATTCCTGACGTCGCAGCGGCAGCAGCACACTCCTTTTCACCGCCTCCCATAACCTACAAACCAGCTCTTCTTGCCTCGTTCCAGTCTTGCAGCCTTGCCAGGCTGTGGTGACAGTCCTGCACGTGGATGCTGTGACTGCCAGAAGAGAAAACCAGCAGGTTGGGAACAGAGAAAGCTTTAGCTTCAGAGAGCAGATCAGTGACAGGGCAGGCTGTGCATGTGTCTGTGGAGCAGCGAGGAACCGAGTGACACGGCAGTGGGGTGGGGATGGGGAAAACAGCACAGCAGCCCCTGTCTGCGTAGTGCTATTGCCCCCAGATCCCTGATGCCATGTTCCTGCTCTCTCTGCTTATCAGTGGCTGAGACTGCAATAGGCTCTCAGAATAGCTCACAGTACAGAGGGGGGATCTTGACTCCAGGGTATCACATCAAACCCCTTGCTTTACTCACGCAGCTGTGGGTAGCACTAACAAGGACCGTGGCTGGCACCGCAATGAGCAGGTTCCCTCTGGTCATCTGGAGCAATAAATGGTGGGGAGAGGAGAGTACTAGGCAAAAAGGAACAAATATAGAAGTACAGATGGAGGAAAAGGAGAGAAAAGTCACACGTTTTTTAAAGATGGGGGTGCACCGAGACATGGTGAGGGAGAACTTGTTAGGTACATCAGGCCTTCAGCTTAACCTAAATGTTTTCCCACAGCGGGAGAGGGGTTGACAAATTCTCCTTCCAGTTCAGTAGCAGAAAAGAATACAGGGATTTCAGATAAACTTTTCCTGCCCTTCCTAAGGCCGTGCTCCAAAGTCTGAGCAGGCATGAGGAAATCAGGACTGCCAGTCTGATTTGCTTAAACCTTGCCCTGCACCAGCCACCGCACATCTGCACATGGGGAGCAGCTCAAGCACCTGCAGATGTTCCTGAGATGTTCCTGGCTGTGTAGCTCTGAAAGCCCCAGCTGAATTATCAGGCTCTGGCTCCACAAGGGCTGCCTCTGCTCGCACTAGGGACAGTTGTAAATCTGGGCTGCCTCACTGCACTCTTCCAAGGAGGTGCTGGCTGGGAGAGCTTTCCTCTTGCTGGTAGGAGGCTGATGTGCAGAGAGGCTTTTGAAGTAGGTTTCTGATTATCCTGGCATAAACAGATGAATCCTCTTGGGTGGGGATGTGCAGCAGGAAGGAGAAATGCCAAGTGAAACCCTCTGTGAATGCGCTCTGATGGCCGTCCATCGGACATGTATATGTGGGATAATCCTGGTGTTCTTTAGACAAGATGATCCACTTGGGATTAATGCAGCCAGCCGCAGCCTGTCACTTTGCATGTGTGAACAGAGCTGAAAGATCCCGTACTGATGTACCTACCACTGACTCATAAATTAATTGTGTGGTAGAAATCTGACTAACAAAACCGAATGCTCTTGCACAGTGACACCTACAGCTGCGCTGTCAAACGGGGGAAGAGGAGTATTGCCTGTTTTCCTCTCTCTTTGAACTGATACTGTCATATGTTCTAGTAGTTGGTTCTGTCTGTTTTTAAATCAGTGGAGACCAGAATGACCCAAAAGTTAACAAAATAATGTCTAATCCAACAAATCATGCAAGATGTCTTCCCTGTGGACAGGAGATGTTTCGCTTCCAGGTAATTATTGTCATCATCAGTGACTCTCGTCCATCTTGCCAAGCAGAACTCCCTCTCACAGGGATGATCATCTGCAGGCGGTGGGGCTGTAACCAGCCAAGTCTGTCAGCATATTCATGTCAGAAGGACCTTGCTCTGAGCTGTGCTGCTCGGACTTGAGTGG